TGACTGCCTTAATCACGTCATCGTCACACTCCTCGCTTACTTGCCAGAGACACCTGGTAGCAAGGAAACTAGCGCTAGCAAGTCCGTAGGTGACCGTGTTAAGCCTGAGTGTTTGTAATGGTTTGTCCTCCGCATAACGCCATAAAATCAGCTGTAGGTTTCGGTCAGACTCATTTACTAAAACCTGCCGATACATTTTTTCAATATCCGCTGACAACACATAACGATATTGCCGGAACCAGATGAGGATATTGAAAATACAGTCTTGAACTGTAGGGCCTATCATTTAAATGTCGTTTATAGACAAACCAGATGACGTGCGAGCTGATGCGTCAAAGACGACGCGTAAAGGTGTTGACTCACTGTCTTCACGAATGACAGGATGATGCGGAATAAACAGGCAAGCTCAGGTCGGTCTACCTCAGATATTTCTAGGTGTCCTAGTTTGTTATACTCCTCAATGAAGTCTACATAGGCGGACTTAAGTTCGGGTTGCTTGCGAAAGCGACGTTCCAGGTTTATAAATCGCCGCCTGGCCAAGAAATAGGAAGTGCCTAGGCAGTCTGGTTCATCGATCAATGGCAGCGTGACACAAAAACGACCTTCTTCAGTGCTTTTTGTGTGCTGTAAAAAATGTTGTTCGCAAGCTTTCTCTTGGTCCGTAAGAAGGGGTTTTTGGGGAAACTTTCAAGCTCCCAAAACCTCTTTAAATCATTATGAAGCTCAACTAAGGTATTGTTGTTCAATACTTACAAAATTACTTTTAACTGGGGAATTTATATCGAGATTGTCATTTTGAATATAGGGCATGGGACCTGCGATAAGCCACCCTAATTTAGAATTATGTAGAATAGGATTTCCTTTGCCTAAAGAGTGCTATTTGGTTCCAAGAATGGACCAAAATAGGTCAGCACCGATGAGCAGTCCTATGTCTGCTAATTTAAAGGATTTCAAGTTAAGGTGTGTAATAGACACAAGATACTTAGGTATCTTGCCTGATATTGGGGGTATTACTAAACATGACGTCGTAACGCTGAAAGAACCTACTTTTGAATGAATTCGAACATTGCAACGTTCAGCATTAAGCTTGACAATGGTGTTACATATGCCGACTACATTCCTAACATCAGATGTGGATGAAGTTAAATTTAACTTTGATTTAAGTGGTTCTGTAATAAACCTAGATTGACTGCCGTTGTCTAAGAGAGCTTTAGTAGTAATGTAATTGTTTGTTGTGGGATTAAAAATATCAATCAAAGCCGTACATAATAGTATCTCTGAAGCAGAAACAGCTGACATCGAAACTGGCTTAGAGACTGTAACATTAGTGACTGCCACATTAGTTTCAGAATCCGTAGGTTTGTGTAAAAATTTATTGTGACGTTTTTTGCATATTCTGCATGTTCCTGGAAGCTTGCAAGCGCGTGTATTATGGCCTTGACGTAAACAGTTAGGACACAACTTTATCTCGGATACTAATGAAAGTCTATCATCAATAGATTTCGATTGAAATTGTGAGCACTCATAATTACGACGACCTTGGCTACAGAAAATACACTTGTGAGACGCGTTTGATAATGAGTCACCCTGCTCAGCGCTAACGAAAGAGGTAGTATGAGAAACGGGATTTTGTTTGACGCCTTGATTATTATTCGGGTTTGACTTTATACTTTTTTCTTGTTTATTTCAGTAAACAGACTCCAAAACTTCAGCACGGCCCTTAATAAACATTATAAAATTATCTAGGCTAGGCATATCGGAACCATTAACATTAGCTTGAATGTATTCCTCCCATTTAACACGCGCTGTCTAATTTCGCTGAGAGCATAAATACGATCAGGGTGTACCAATGATCGGTTGAAGTATTTAAAGCACGTAGGTTTTTTGTGACGTGGTCTACTAGAAATCTTAATGACTTGTCAGACTCACGCAACGGCTAAATATTAAATAATGATTTCAAATGATTATTTATTAATTGACGAGTATTATAAAAAGTTAAAAATACCAACCATTTGTTGATCGTACCATCAAACTTATTAATTTTAATGACTGGTAAACGAAAGCCGATAACTTCGTGATCATCTTCATCAGCTGTGTTAATACTGCTGTGCTGAAGCGACGACTTTTTGTCGTACTGCTTACGGAAATATTCCCATCATTGTGGAAAGCTTGTTCGATGACTTCTCTGGTATCTAATCTAAGCTTAAATTATTTTCCTCCAATGCTTCAATTTGATTCTGCACGTTATCGAATTCGCCAAATAAAGTCTCAAGTTTAACTAATCGCTGTGATAGCACGCTAACTTCCGTAGGAGAAAGCTTTTTACCTTTTAATTCTTCTAAATGGTTATTAAATTTCGTAACACGGCCTCTAATTGAAGCGCGTTTTAAATTAAGAAAATTATACTTTGCCTCCATACTGGCCAAGTTAACGCGCAAACAATTAAAATCGCATCAAGAAATAAAAAGAATCACTTCAGTACACGGGATGCGATGATAGCCTCGAGCGACCGCTGCGCAGTAGCTGAAATTGATTGTTGGTATTCTTTTGTAGATATCTACGTACATAAAATAATAACGGAAAGCAAGATTGATTGTAAGTTTACTTGATTTGTGAAAATAATAGTTTAATTAGCGTTATATAAAGCTTAGCGAATGATTATGCTATAGTGAATTGGCTATTAAGTGATAACTAATTTATTTGCGTGCATAAACAGCTAACAGTGGATAGCGAAAAGTTAATTTACTTGCATTAAGAAGTTAAGCTCAAATTTTTGCGTAGCTATGTACAAAATACAAACGTTTAAAGAATTAGGTTCAGCTATTTAAATTCTAATTATTCAACAGTGGGCACCAATTAATTACATGCTAGTAAAGACTTTCAAGTCGTAAATAGGCGCAATGAATGCAAATTATAGGCGGCTTGAAAAATAGCACTAGTAACTAGCAAATGCTGCGGCGAAATAATAGTAAGGAACGATAGCCAATTAGCTGATAGGTAAGCAAATAAAAATAATCAACTTGAGATTGCAGGTAGGTTTAACTAGGTAATTCTTTTAGAATTGGTTTAATAGGTATTTTATTTGGTAGGATTATTGAGTAGGAATAGTTTGTTTAGATTAGCAGTTTTATATGCGAAAGGGTATAGGATAGACAAGGAATATAAAAGATGTTGCTTGAGAATGGGTAGGTAAGATAAGGCAACAAAAATAGGATTGGACTCCTTGTTTCCCTGTTCACACAAATAAAATGTTTTAGGAATAGTGGGACACGAACAGAAAAAAGCAAAAGTGGCGCGTAGACTCCGCTGGACCTCAGCTTGGCCGATTCTCAATAGCTGCCCTCTTGTCTTCTCTCCGCTTCAGATGAATTCTTCTTGACCGCTTCGTTGTTCTTAGGAATCGGGATGGTACGCCGATTTAATAATCTTCGTAGGAGATGTAGTAGATCAGCGCGGCTTCTATTGTTGGTAGCTCGTGGTACTTGCGTTTGCGACGTTGTAAACGCGTTGTAAGTGCCACGCCCTTTGACCGTACTACGCGGCGGAATCGGAGTTCGTTATTTTAATTTATCACGGTCGCCACTATGTTCATTAGGGAACATGAATAAAATAGGCGACTCACACGATAGGCAAATTGTTTATTTGAATAATCAAAATAAAAACTAATTTGGTGGTGATCGGGCGCGAGCTATCGCGAGTGACGGCCTTAGGCGCGGTGGTGAGAAAGCCCCCCGCGCTTCTCGTACTCCCCGCGAACACCGTCGGTGCTGACGTAACGGCGCCGACGCTCCTATGGCCCTCTTATGCAAAACAAAAATTGTTTCTAAATCATCAAATGGTACGCTCCTATGGACCTCTTATGCAAAACAAAAATTGTTTCTAAATCAGCCGCATTTTCCCGTAGCAAAATCCCATATGACATTATGCTATGGAAATAATTGAAATAAACTAATCTAGCTGTCTCGACATTAGTGAGATCTTTAATGTTTCATAACAGCATAAGCTGCAGAGCTTAGTCTGCTTGCTAGTTCAGATATATGGGGGCCCCACTGAAGCTTAGCATCGAGAGTGATGCCAAGAAAAACAGAGGATTCAATAGAACTCAGTTCTTCCTCATTTAAAAACATATTGGTATTCGGATTTTTAACATTTGTTGTAAATTTAATATATTTAGTTTTATTGCCGTTTTTCGTAATTGGTCAAAAGGTGATAGTGATGATATAGTGAAATTTTGGGCTCAAGTTTCCAGATACAAAAATGTGGCTAAGATGAATGCTTTTCGCGTATTAGTGGACTTAGTTATCAGCGTGATGTCGCTTCAATATTCAGACGCTGAAGTATAGTGGATTTTCGGCGTTATAAACATTCTCAAAAGTAAGCTACGTAGGTGGATGTCTGCTGAAATAGTGAACTCAAATATGATGATACATCATAAATAAAAAAATTCTTAAGCAAAGCCCCCACACATAAAGACTTATATGAAAATGTCCTCGAAAAATTACTAAAACTGTGAAAAAAAGAAAAGAAGCGGGTGTAGGCTCATCATCGGCATCTGATGGTGATGATGACCATGGAATTGTCTGATTTAGTTGATTTTATTACCTAATATTTCTCAAAAAAAATAAAGATATCTTCAAATAATCGCATTTTTTCTTATTTCCTTGTTAATTTACAGGATAAAACCTAGCAGAATTTGGTGGATTTCAAAAAGCTTTTTGTAAAATATAGCAAAATTTTGATTCGTTATTGAATCTTTTTTATTTAATAAGGCAACACTGATCCTCGTTCTCTTAATAGTCTGTGGCACAGAGTACCTTTGTATAAACTGAAAGTCTGTGGTTTGACATTAGAATGTCACCTGTGATTTATTACTTTTTTTAAATAACAAATCAACAAAGCTTTTCCTATTATACCAGTGAATAAGTTAATAAGTAAATGCAATAAATAGGTACATGGCTGATCTTCAGATTTGCAGAATATGCCTTCGTATAGGAACAAAAATGTACAAATATGATCAGTATCAACTAAAATTATGTTATGAGGAAATTACGGTTGCAAAAGTAAGTAACAGATTTTTATTAGAACTAAAAGACGCACTACGCGGCAAACCTCCCGATAACATCCACACCATCTGGATGCTTGGCGATCCACCACTGTACGTTTCACTAAGAGTTTTCTACCGCGTGTGACCTTTCCGGACTTTCTACCGGCGATTTTTCCGGACCGATACGACCTAGGGACCTTCAAGAAAAGAGCTTACTTTTTTCTAAAGGGCCAGCAACGCACCTGCAATTGCCCTGGTGTTGCGGTTGTTCATGCTATGCTCGTTAGCCCCCTCTTCTATAAAAAAATAGATGTAATTAAACTGAACTGCGCACTGGTGATTTTTGTCACTGTGACATTAAAGTTTTTGTCATTGTCACATCATGTTTCCAAAGCAAAATCAAAAATGTCACCCAGTTGCTGCTTCATTGGTCTAGTGTCATAAGTGCGAACGGTGATCATATGGACCCAGGTTCTAATCCTGGGTTGTGTCAAAATGTTACTGGGTTTTTCTGTCAAGAAATTTTAATTAACAGCCTAAAGTCAAGAAATTAAGATCTGTGCTTCGGAACATAAAGCTGTTGAACCTGTGCTTGAACCCTTCCAGTTGTGTTAGATTGCGGTCCCATCGGACTTTGGGACTCTCGGGGAATAGAGAGTGCACTAAAATTCCATCCTGTGCAGATGAGCTCCGGCTTACCCCTGGCACTTGCGGGTACCCGGGCCTGCGAATGTGCAATCTACTGCCAAAGACTCCACAGGGGTGTGGGACCAGACCCCTGTGACAGTAAATGCTCCTGGCAGCAATAACAAAAAAATTGTTCAGCAAGCATTCCACCTGAGCTTATGACAAGACCCAGATTTTATCTATAGGAAATATCCCTGTGCACCTTACTACGGAAACAGAACTCGAAAAAATGGAGATCTACTCTACAGAGAATGTTGAACCTGCCCCTCCTTTTTGGCAATGAGTGCCCCCTAGTCATATGTAAAGAAAGGAGCAAGAGAGCAATCATTCCACTTCAAACCAGGGGCTAAAAGCTCCTGAACAAAAGCAAAAAAGGCACTGAACCCCTGGAGGAAAGGGATTGTCAAAGATGACCAAAAGAACCTTGCTGAGAGAACAAATCTTGAGTTATAGTAGAGGCATTATCACAAACAACACTGCACAGATATCACCATTCACAACCAACAATTAATCAAAACACACCGGCTGTTTGAGCTCTATGCTCTGGAAGCTATTCTGCCAGCAGCTAGTATTGTAAAATCTACAGCGAAATCCTCACTAGGAAACAAGATGCCAATAAGATACAAAAATAACAAAGATCTAAAGAACAATAACCAATAGAGGATCTAAATGTACTTGCACTGACGAGATCTGAGTCCCAGCTTAAAGATGACAAATATACCTTAAAACAACCATACAGCAATGGTAATAAACAATATAGCAAAGTAGTTATAGGTAATAATACTACTATGACAGTGAACACTAGAAGAAAAATGGCTTCCGCAAATAACATTGACCCTACAGTCACGGAGAACAAATGTAGAACATAATCTGCTTGAAAATACATTTAAATTAGAGGTCCTATTATTAAAACAGACCAAAAGGATAGATGTACTAATCTCACAGATGAGCAAAATGATGAATCTCATCACATCACTCATTAGTAAAATTTCATTATGACCTGACTACAAATAGCAACCTGGAATATCAAAGGCTTGCTACCAAATAAACAGGAACTGGAAATGTTGATTCAGGCAAACAAAATAGATACAGTGCTAATATCGGAGACTCATCTCAATAACCGCAAAATATTTAAAATGAACAATTATAATTTATATTGCACAAATCACCCATTACCATCCTATTATCATTTTTTACTTGATAGAGCCATGCTGCAGCTATATTATAGTTGTAGCACGATAGGGTCGTCTCGACCGAGGAAGGACCACACTCTCACAGAATACCAGCATAAAATAGCAGCTTGAAGTTGCTGTGTTTCATATGGCGAGTGTAAAGAACCGGAAACCCGTTTTAATGGAATGGAGGCATTCCATCTCAGTCCTCAGGGGTGACAACGCATCTGCATTTTGATTCTTATTCGAGGTTACATTTCGATGTCTATTGGCCACAGGATCCACTTACCATCAGGGGGACTGTGTGCTCCTTTGTCACCCTTATTCTATTTAAAAAAATGGTGGGATAGCAGTAACTGCAAAGAATAATATTAGACATTACTTTCGTGCCGAATTCAAGGAAGACCGGCTACAAGCTGGGAAGATATAAGCTCTGTATACTGTGCCTCAAAGCATAAACTTAAGCAGGACATGCTATCCAAGTACCTTGATACTCTGGGCCACAGGTATGTCTGTGGCGGTGACTGGAATAGCAAGCATATAGACTGGGGTTGCAGACTGGCAACAACTAGAAGACGCGAACTTAAGAAATGTGTAGATAACCACAGATTTGTTACCCTCTCTACAGGCGAACCAACCTGATTCCCAACAGAGATTCTAACCGAACACCAGATATACTCGATTGCTTCATAACAAAGGGACTCTCAAACATACACTTCAAATAGAATCATCTCTTGATACCGTATCGGATCACTCACCAGTACTGCTAACCCTGATTGTAACAATAATACACAAAGGACAAAGCCATAAGTTAAGCAATCATAAAACCGACTGGAATGCATTTACCGAATACCTACAAGAGGAAACCAAGAGTGAAGTCTTAAAACCGAGACAGAAATAGATGATGCAGCATTCTACATAAGTGGCGACATGGCGTGCTACTCCGACTCTGGAACTCCCGTCATATAAATATAACATACAGATAGCATATAGAGGAGGCGGCTACATGCAAGCAGATCAGAACATGACAGATGCCCACAGATACCTGATTTATAAGTTTTAAAAGTAGTTTATCATAGGGCACCCTGATGTATGCTTTCGTCATGTCAAGTAAAATACCAAAAGTATCTTTTTTATCATTAAAATTTTGTAGGGCCATTTGTATGAACTTTATACAGCTAAGGTAGTTGATTTTGATTTTCTGAATAAATTTTGGCTACCATCTAGTATTTCATACTTTTCAAGGAATGAGTAGAGACTATTTTTTGTATTATACTATTTTTAGTATTGTTGATTGCTTTTCGTAAATCTTTGAAAAGTTGGGCAATTGGTCTATAGTTAGTCTATTGGTCTATAGTTAGTCTATTGGTCTATAGTTGTTAGCGCAAAGGCTTTATTAGTGCTATTTTAAGAGGGTCTGGAAATATGTCATGTTGAAAACTTTGGTTTACTAAAAGGGTAAGTGGATAGACAAATTATTCAGTGCCTACGCCAAATCTATGTTTAGTTTTTAATTTTTTTATACTATTTTGGATTTCCTTTTCATCAACTGAGATTAGGTACATGTAGCATGTCACTTTCAATTCGATAGAATTGTTATATTGTTTCTGATTTTCATTAACATTATTAGTTTTACCAATTGCTGCAAAATGTTCATTAAATAAGTGCATTAAATAGATTAGATGTTAGTTGATCGAGCAAGTAGATGAGTTTGTATATTTGGGTTGCCTATTTAGCAGGGATGGGAGATATGATAAGGATATAGAAAAACGAGTGAACGCAGGAAATAGAGTAAACGGGGCCCTACACTCTATTGTGAAGAGTCAAAATGTGTCAAAAAAGGCACGTATGGCAATTCACAATGCTATGTTGGTCCCTACTTTAACATATGGTAGTGAAAGTTGGATGTGGCAGAAGAAGCACGAGAGTAGAATAAATGCAGTAGAAATGCGGTCGTTAAGGAGTATGTTAGGGCTGAATCTGAATGACAGGGTGAGAAATTGTGTGACAAGAGAAGAGTGTGGTTTGCAAGATGATGTTGTGACCAGGATTAAGAAAGGAATGCTTCAGTGGTTTGGACATGTGGAAAGAATGAATGAGGAAATATTGACAAAGAAAATATATGTTGCAGAAGTGAATGGCAGATTCGGAAAGGGACGCCCTAGGCGATTTATCAACCAAATTAGCGATTTATTAAAAACGGGCCACATTAGGAGTACCCTTAACCGACGAGTATGGATGCGTAGGTATATGGATATGAAGGAGGCGAGAGAGGTGTGTAAGGATCCCTGGGTGACAGGTGTGAGTGTTTAAAATTCACTAAACGCTGCTTAGGATCATAAATACATATAATAATAATGTCCTCCAGACTCAATTTCGATCACGACGGTGAGTATCAACAGAGGCTAGCTAGCCATCTGCGCTGGACAGAATTTTAGTGCACTCTCTATTCCCTCACTTCCAAAGTCCGATGGGACTGCAATCTAACACAACCGGAAGGGTTCAAGCACAGGTTCAACAGCTTTATGTGCTTTCTGAAGCACAGATGTTAGTTTCTTGACTTTGGACTGTTAATGAAAATTTCTTGACAGAAATAACATTTTGACCCGGGATTGGAACCTGGGTCCGTATGATCACCGTTCGCACTTATGACACTAGACTAAGGAAGCAGTCAATACATCAAATATATGTCTTTCTTACTCCTTATCACCCTATAAACAGTCTACAGTGGGACATGGGGTTCTCTCATATTCCTTTGGCCATATTCACCATGCTTGATGTCCTATTTGTGAACACTTAGTTCTTGCATCACGGACAAAATTTATCTACCTATATTTATTTTTTTTTCAACAGATCGACGAACAGCTACCACATTACTTCTGTTTCGAATGTGCCATGTTGCTCTATAAATATCATAAGTTTAAGCAAAAATGCTTCAGAGGTCAAGCAGCACTCAAGGCCTTACTACTAAAAGGACCTGTAAGTATCTAGGGATTCTGAATTCTGATTCTATGAATTAAATTTTTATTTGTTTTTCAATATGAAATAATTACCTACAATCGCGAGGCATCTATGGTTACATACGCAGTCGGAGGGGCTAGCGCGTTCTAGGCGTTTGATGAATTTTTAACACTGTTTACGTGAATAGTTTTTTGTAAATAATTGCTGTAATTTTTGTTTTGTGTTTAGTATATATAATTAGTAAATATAATTAATATAGGATAAAACAGTTAAAAAGATTTTAATGTAACTTAAAAATGATATAACCTATCTATTTGATAAATTATAATGGAAAAACGTCGGACCTACTATAATTGCTGCGTGGATGGATGCTTAATGAGCAGACAAAAGGATTCAGATATATCATTTTTTAAGTTACCTGAGGAAAAAAAGGAAATAATTAATTTTTTTGATAGGTACTTATAGTAAAAAAGAATTAAGTAATAATTTATGTACAGAAGTAATACCTGAGTACTTTATTAGAAAACTTAGTTGAAATTTATTTCACTATCCAAGTATCTACTTACAAACCTATACTTTCTTCAGTGGCTAAGCTAGAGCTCCAAGCTAGGGCAAGCCCAAGATATAAATTGATAAAAATATAGATTGTTGTTTTTAGCAGTTTTATAAAAATACACCAATCTTGATCTGTCTCCACGCTTCAGTTTCATATTCAGTGCTGTCGAAGACGTGTTTAACAAAGCACACAGAAGGCATACCACTGCTAGATAGATTGTATTACATATCAGCAATTGCATAGCTTCGGTGGCTTTGAAGGAAGCCGTTTGGGTTTGTTTAAGCGAAAGAAAAAAAATATTTACATCCAATACAATACATGAACAAAAGTAAAACACGAACAAAGTACAAACAAACTATGTACAAAATTCAAACATTCTAATGGATAAGAGATAAGATAAGATAAGTGGAATCGTCTCGCTTTCTTATGGAAAGATTTAATTACGTCCACGTAAAATGTTGGTGAACGTTTTAATTGTACCAATAACTGTTTTTAATTGCGATAATTGATAAGTCTGAAATACATTCTTAACCTTGTGTGTTATCTCAACTAAGTTTAAAGATTTTCTTTCCGATTATCACTTTAACACACTTCAATTCATGAATTGATGTGTGTTAAAGTGATAATCGGAAGGAAATCTTTAAACTTAGTTGAGATAAACACAAATTTCACTTATCAATTCGCAATTAAAACAGTTAATCAAATCAAGGGACACTATTATCTTCCATTTTCATTAAAAATCTTTAAAAAAGCATAAATTTTGAACTCGTAATATTAAATCGCTTAAGATAAGCACACAGAGTAAATAAACATTGAAAATTGAAATGAACTTGCAAACGTATCGCCCGCGCGCCTCCGCTTTTAACAAATTTATTCCCAAAAGCCTGGCTTTAAATCTCTATACTAATTGCTATATATTATAAAATCGTAGTTATATTTCAATATAGAATATTTTGCCATAGGTTAAAAAGAGAGCGATCGTCTTCTCGAAAGCTACGGGGCTTTAAAAGCCCACGCGAGCGAGGGAGACAACTATTAGCTCTATTAAAACTCATTTTTTTATGACAGCAGCAGTATCGCTAAGGCAATACGAGGTCATCGGTCGACATATGTCGAACAGTGGAGTGCGCGGGAAATTTGAAATAGCTTGAAACATTTTACGAGTTATTTTATTAGTTGATATTATTGATTGGTATTATTGATTGATTAAGGTTTAATAAGGCAAGCCCAGCTTTTCGGCTTTAATGGAAGCTTCGCCACTGCTTGTCTTTTGTAATTAAAATATTTTAAGTTATACTAATTACACAAAATACTGAAATTAAAACTGTTTAATAACAAGATTTACAACTTAGTAGAATACGATCACATTTCTGTTAGGAATCGTATTTCGGGTTTTTTGTTGTTAACACTATCTACATAGTTCTTCCGACCCAAGCATCACGATTCCCGATGGATGGTCTTGCAAGTTGCATGCGTTGGGCATCGCAACACTCACACAGGTGCGAAAATATGGTCAGTCGATTATAGTCAGAATAGTTACTTCAACTAAGTAACTTAATTAACATTTCACAATATATTTTTTACTCTTTATTGACAGCCCTTAGTAACCACGAAAAGTACGCCGTGACATAGGAAGGGGAAAAGATGCAAAGTAATACGGACACTCGCGCGCAGCGATAAAGTTTTATTTAGCTTGCGTGCGCGATTTATCTAATTAATAATTATTATTTAGGCTATTAAACTTCGGCAAGCAGTCAACATCAAAGGAGTGCAACTTCTGTACGTAGTACTATTATTATTTATTCTATGGTAAAACTTGATAAAAGATATATCTGTTCCTTTTATGTAGCTATTTATTGTCATCATTTGTATATTTGATTAATATTACTTTGATGATTTATTAATTTCGCACATGTTTATAAAGTAGTAATTTATAAATAAAATATAAGTACATGTTGAACTATAAAATTGAAATTTGGGCGATGTATACGCTTTTACTACAAAATCCCTGAAAATATACGAAATTTGACACGCACAAAGTTCAAAAACTTTATTAAACTAAGTTTGTATAAAAGAGTTATAATACATATTAAGGAATTTATGGATGATTGTTTTTCTACAATAAGCTGACAAACGAGCACACAGTGCATCTGATGTTAAGTGGATGCTGTGCCCCACAGACATCTACATTTATCCTCGATTAAAAATAAAAGCGCAGATGCGTTGTCACGCCTGAGAACTAAGATGTAATGCCTCGTTTCCAGTAAAATAGGGTCTCCTGATTTCTATACTCACCATACGAAACACAGCAGTATTAAGCTGGTATTTTACGCTGGTATTCAGTGAGAATGTGGTCCTTCCACGGTCGAGCCGACACATTCGTGCTACAACCATAATATTGCTGTAGCGTGGCTACACCACATATAAAATAACCTCTGGCAAGGGTTATCGCTACCCAACTATTTCCAATTTGTTATGTGTTGTTAATTATAAGTAGCATACATGATTGTAAGTTGTTATTTAAAAAAAAGTCCCCTGGATTTCTTGCTGGTTCTTCCCAGGACAGAGGTTTTTTTCCGAACCAGTGGTTAATCTATATTGTATAAAAAATTCTGTTTCTGTATCTGAAATATAGAATAAAATAAAAACCAATTTGCAAATCATATGTGTGTATAATGTAAACCCACTATTAACTATACTAATAGAGTAATTAGCTACCTTTATGAATGGAAACTGCACATATAGATTTTACTGAATGTTACTTTGTTCTAAAAAAACAAGTGAGTTATCCTCAAGCTTCAGCTGAAGAAGTTTTACTTCAAAATCTAAATGTGTTATAATTTCGTAACTGTCTCGGACACTGCATAAGAGTTGTCTACGATATTATTGTAAAATTGAAATAATAAATTTGTTATGTACCTCAAATATTAATGTCCCGTAGTATTCTTTTCTTACCGAAAAATTCAGAAAATGGTAATACCTTATTATACCTCTTGTATAATGTTTATTGCTTCACATATTATGTAGTGGTAACCCTTTTTACATTACATAGATATTTAAAACCCTACAATCTTTCGACATTGGGGTTTCATAACACTCTAAGTTGCTTCTTTTATTTTCCAGATAACATATAAGGCTGTTAACAATAGTAACTGCAAAAGTGAAATACTTCAATCAGCTTTAGGCATTATTACAGTAAATAAGCGCGTAAAAACCTATTTAATTAATGATGGACAGAATAGAGTCATTCATAAAAAAGTTTCAATCGTTAATGGTGATGGTGAAGTTGCAGTATCTATGAGTACTGAAGATGTTACTAAAACAAGTAATAGAAAAGCTGAATTAGAAGTGGAGTCTGATAAAATTTTAACTAAAAATGATAGCAGTGCAATTAAGACTACCACAGATAATTTACTTTCGAGTACTGATAATGTTGACGATGATTTAGATTATGCTGTCGACACTGACAATGATAATCATTCTTTAACAGCAGTTTTTATTCCAGAAAAGGATTTAGTAATAAAGACTGAAGAAGATAATCTAGAAAATACCGAACTAAATGACAATAATATTGACAAATCTAATAAACAATTGCCTCAAGATAAACTTAGTCAAGAAAAATTACAAAACAGCACGAGTAAAAGAGAATTAAGAAAATATGATTTCCCAGTAGCTATGGATACTGGTAGCGTAACTAAAATCACAGATAAAAATATTGATTTTGGTATTAAGTCGGATGAAATTTTAATTAGAACTGGAAGTAATGCAATGGTAACTGTCGCAAGTGATGTCCTTTCTATTATGGATGACAGTGTAAACAATATAGACTGTGATTCTGTAAATGAAAAGAGCTTAACGACTATGGAAAACAATGTGTTAATAAAATCTAAAAAATGTAATGATCATTTGGATGTAGCAGTTAAAAAAATTAAAAAAAGTGTATCAAATAAAAAAATCTTAGGCACAAGAAAGCATAGTAAAATAGAAAACAATAAAAATGTTCAAGAGGAGAAAAAGCACAAGTTTACAGCAACATCCAAAAAAGTGCTGGATCCAAGTAAATGGAAGAAGATAAGTTTGTCCGAGGAGGAGGCTGTAAAAGAGTTCGAGAAAAGAGCTCACGATCCGAAATATGTGCAGGCCACTTATCATTGTAAGGATTGCTATAAGTTCTTCTCGAGAGAGGATATTATGATGCGCCATTTGAAATTAAGGCACAACACGGTATGGTATTTTTATTTTTGCGGCCATTTAAAATTTGTTGTATAAATTTCACAGTGGTTTTTACTCCTCTTTCGTCCTTGTTATAGTCGGTTTTTACAATTTAAAAATCAAAACTAGTAAAAATTAAACAATAATATAAATAGTAAGGTAACACGGAACTACACTGTTGAATGTAGGCTTCCCCTATTTTCTGAAAGAGTTTTCGGAGCAGGGAAAAGCGCGCCGCGCTGTCTTTGGGACAGTGGTGGAGGACTGGCGGACTTTATAACTTGTTACAGTTCATCATCATTACAGCCCCACACAAGTCCACTGCTGAACATAGGCCTCCCCCAAGTAATGCCATAAAGCACGGTCCTGAGCCACCTGCATCCATCTACTTCCTGCATGTCTTACCAGGTCGGCACTCCATCTAGTGGGGGGTCGCCCTACACTACGCCTACCGGTACGAGGCTGCCACTCGAGAACCTATCTTCCCCATCGGTTATCGGTTCTTCAAGCTATATGGCCGACCCATTGCCACTTCAGCTTGCAAATCCGTCGGGCTATGTCGGTCACTCTGGTTCTACTGCGAATATGCTCATTTCTGAGTTTATCACGCAGAGAAACCCCGAGCATAGCCCTCTCTATAGCTCGCTGAACGACCTTGAGCGTCCTCATACGGCCAGCAGTGAAGGACCACGTCTCAGATCTGTAAGTCATCACTGGCAACACGCGCTGGTTGTACGATCTAGTTTTCAGAGTTTGAGGTATACCTGACGAGAAGATGTGTCGTAATTTCCCGAACGCTGCCCAGCCGAGTTGAATCCGTCGATTAACCTCTCGGTCGAAGTTGGACTTACCTAGTCGGATTATATGTCCCAGGTAAAGTTACTCGTCAACAACTTCGAGCATAGTGCTCCCAACAACTACCGGCATAGGTGTGACATGGACATTAAACATGATCTTTGTTTTGTCCATGTTCATCTTACGACCTATCCGTTGGGAGACACCATTGAGGTCATTGAGTATTGTGCTTAGGTGCTCCAGCGATTCTGCCATAAGGACTATACCGTCGGCAAATCGAAGGTATGTTATGTACTCGCCATTGATGTTAATACCGTATCTTTTCCAGTCCAGTAGCTTGAAAACGTTTTCCAATGCAGCGGTGAAGAGTTGCGGGGATATAACGTCACCCTGTCTTACACCTCTCTGCAGTTGGATAGGTTTCGAACTCTGGTTCTGTACTCGGATAACCATCGTAGCCATACTGTACAAACACTTCAGCACTTCGATATACCGACAGTCAACTTGGCACTGCTGAAGGGACCGTGGCATCGCAAAAATTTCGACGGAATCAAAGGCTTTCTCGTAGTCCACATACGCCAGACAAAGTGGCAGATTGTACTCTTCGTCTTCCATACAATCTGCCGCAGGGTGTGTAGCATGGTACTGAAGCCTTTTCGAAAACCGGCTTGTCCGGGAGGCTGGAAGTCGTCGAGTTTGCGTGCGAGACAATTCGTAATGACTCTCGAAAACAGCACGTAGACGCGGCTCAGAAGGGAAATCGGTCTGTAGGTCTTCAAGAGAGCATTGTCGCCTTTCTTGAAGAACAAGACCACCGCACTTCTGTTCCACGCCTCCGGAGTAGTGCCACCATGTACGACGGAATTGAAGAGCTTCTGAAGGACTTTAAGTACCGGTGTTCCACCCGCTTTCAGAAGCCCGCTTTCTTATACCGACAATACACTGTCACCATCATGTACCAAGAGGATTTTTTCATATGTTGAACGCGCAGGTTCCTACCGATTGTTTGCTTCACTGCCGAGCACATGGTAAGTCAGCACTTAAAATTGAAATCTGGAAGATTTATTTCGGCGCTGAACTTTGCCGTAACATAGACAAAATGTCTCTACGTATGATCTCAAAATCTTCATTACCGGTAGTTTTAATCAATGACAGAGATTTTAATTTTTTCTAGAATAAGTGTGATAAATGAGCACACAGTCCACCTAATGGTAAGTGAATGCTGTGGCCCAGGGACACTGATCTGTCTTTGATTAACCTTTAGCTGCCGACCTGGTCTAAACGTAGCACTTACGCCGACGTGAACACTGAGAGACGTCAAACTTTAAGTACTTGAATAAAATGTGTATTTTCATGCTAAATTTTTCTATTTTATACATTTAAAAAAATTGTTGTTTGAGGTGACAAACTACAGAATAAAAAAAAATTCACGCTATTTTTCTGGTAAAATCAACATTTATTCGAGAGATCTCAATTATTTGGCAATAAATTTTAAGGACTTACTTCAGTCTTCTTTTTCTCTAAAATTAAGTAATTAACAACAAATTAACTTAAAATATGTTATCTTCTATAAACTATTATCAAAATAAAACATAAATCTTACTTATTAGTTAAAAAATAAAAAAAATGACAGCCCTCGAATATTTGGTACATTCACTACGTACATTTGCAGTCAATGCATATTTGTAGGCAGCAAGTAAGGCACATTGGTTTCTTGCATTTGCAGCAACAGTACTTCGTTCGCCTTTTCAACCGACTGGGACAGACTGCACGTGTTCTTCTAACACCTGAATCTGGATCCTGGTAAGTTTTTGGTGGTGGAGGCTCGGGCATATCGGCGGGTCCAATAACTCGCTCGATACTTAGCCGCAATTCCCGTGGGATCCTCTCATTGTAGACGCGTAATTTCATTTCCGGGAGTACTAATTCACGAGCCAGCAGGAGTAAAAATCGGCCACGACTTATGTCGCCCTTGTTTGTGCACTTGTTGTACAATACATACGTATTAACACCGCTCATATTTATCAACCTGTATAACAAAGTCATAGGCCAACGTCGAGTTCTTCGAGAGCACGAGTAATTCGAGCATTTCTTATCCACCTCATCCACCCCTCCTTTCGTCTTGTTATAGTCAATTATCATAATAGGCTTATTAGTTGCAGAATCAGTCTCTTTGATATGGTGCATAGACGACACCAGTAATACAGCTTTTTTAGGCTTAGGCACGTAAGACAGAATAGTATTGTCTTTGGTGAATCCGTATAACGAAGAACCAACCACTCTATCTTTGTGAGGCTGAAATGCTGGTGGGATCTCCCTCTTGTTTTTCTTCATAGTGCCCAAGTAAGTAAATCCACGATGTTTCAGTGCTTGCAGTAGTTCTATCGAGGTAAACCAGTTATCTGCTGTTATATTTCGGTTACAGCCATCGATCCCTTTACAAAGATGTAGAACAGATTGTGTGGGAATTGAAAAGCGTTTCTCTGCATCACTTAGACCATGGCCATCAGATCCTGTGCCATAATATACATAAGCATTGTATATATAAAAACTTTGAGCGTCAACCAGCAGGAGAACTTTTAATCCATATTTATTTGGCTTGTTTGGCATATATATTCTAAATTTGCAGCGCCCTCTAAAAGCTACAAGCATTTCATCTATACAAATGTAAGGACCCAAAGTGTAATTTTTCTGGCAATTACTGATGAACTCATGAAATAACTCTGAAATAGCGGCAAGTTTATCGTCTTTTAATCGTTCAGATCTTGTCTGAGTATTATCAAAACGCAAACAGTTTAACAAGACCAGAAATCTGTTTTTGGACATAACGCAGCGAAAAATATCGCGTCCTGTGCCATCTGTTGCAAAAATAAAGTCTGAATTTTCGTGATTTGATTGGAATACTGATGTATAAAACAATAGCCCAATTAAAGCCTTTATTTTTGTCTCATTCGTTGAGCCTAGTTCAGATCTGCTACTGTCTTTATACTTAGCCCTATAGCTATCTAATTTCTTGTTTGTATAAGTTACTATCATTTCAATCATGTGATCACTAAACATCAGTTTCCATAATTCCGTGAAAGATTCAAATTCAAACGGACTTACTTGAGATGGTGCATTGACAATATTGTGCACGCGTACTCGACTTGTTCGGGATGGTTCCGCCGATGCCCATTTGTACCTATTCTTCCCGTAAAAATAGCGCGGCAGCTCTCCTGTTGATTCTTCATTTGGCTCCTGGTCTATTCTAAGATCTTCACTACCCTGGTCATTTTGCGTCTCTACTTCGCTATACTGCTCCTCTCCGATCTCTTCAATTCTAGTCTCTGCTGCGCCATGCTGTTTCTCTCCGACTATTGTCTCTTTTCCGATCTGTTCTGTAATGTCCTGGCTTCCATGAGCTCGTACTTCTCTTTCCTGTTCTTCATTGTCGTGATTATGGTTGATTTCTCCGTGGTAAACTTCCTCAACATGGGGATACGTGACGTCAACATCATCCTCATCGGATTGTTCAGATTCCGTGTTGTGATCGCTCTCTAAAATAAAATCAGGATCGCCTACATCGTCGTCAAAATCACTACAGTTGTCGTCACTCTCGTTTGTAAGATTTTCACATATCTCTTTATCTTCTAAAGACCTATTCTGTTTTCGAAGTTTCAGAGGCCTCTCGGGAACGTCATCTTTTGCAGGTATTTTCTGCTCACTAGACGTGACGTTTCTCCTTTTAGGCATTCTGCGATTAAAAGTATAATTTTAAAGCCGATGTGACGTCAATCAGACACTATAAGCTACCACACATGAATACCGAGGTGACGACCAAGAGACGTACGAAATTTAGTACATAAACACCGTGCTTACGTCTGTGAGACGTCGATCGCTTCAATACGGAGATGTGTGCAATCGCCGCCGGCGCAGCGTTGACTGATGGCTAGTGACGCGGAGGGAGGAAGGTAGCGGGAAGGGCGGCGCTAACGGTGGCGTGATTTTAGAAATATTTTAAAATGAAAATTTATTACGTCTGTGAGACGTATAGGTCGGTAGTTAAAGGTTAAGAATCAAAATGCAGATACGTTGTCACCCCGTAGAACTAAGCTGGAATGCCTCGTTTCCAAAAAAAAAATGATTCACTGGTTCTCTACACTCACCATATGAAACTCAGCATCATTAAGCTGCTATTTTACGCTGGTATTATATAACCCACCGAGGCTATAACTATAATATAGCAGCATGACCCTACAATGTGTAAAATTAAATTAATGATAGATAATTATTGCAGTCCATCGGTCCATTCGAGTGTCGTTTCTGCCACATGCGCTTCAAGCTGAAGTGTCGCCTACTAAAACACACGCGCATGCACTACACTAAGTACGAGTGCTTGGTTTGCAACCTCGTTGTTACTGTTGAGTGAGTTTCAGAATTACTTTTTTTTAAAATAATATTTGTTTATTCGCTCATTACAGCCTATGAAAAAACCGCTGCTGAATATCCTCCCTATTAAACTTACTCATTGGCAGGATATTTGCCATAGTATACGAGTAACGACTAAACCTTTTAGTATAGTTTAAGAATATATATTACCCCATGGCGTCTTTGGGTGCCGTAAGAGGCGACGAAATGAAAAAAACAGCGTCTTCTAACTAAAAAGAAGAACTACGTTTGGCAATCTGACTGCCGAGCGTGACAACTAGTCCAAATATCCCTACGAAGTAATCCACGGGTAGGCCTATGTTCAGCTGTGGGTTTTTGTTAAGATAATCCAGCACTGAATTTCTTACCTTGGGTATCTATCGTAAGAAGCGAGCATAGGAAAGGCTAGAACGAGCTCTTGGTCTTCTGTAGATGGTGGAGATACCATTACGCCAACCGTAGAATTCTCAGGTCGGCGACAGGAACACGTTTAAACTTCGAAGTAGCGGTACGTCTTGTACTGTGATAATCAAATTGCCAGTCAAGCGTTAGATGAGGCATATTCTTCCAACAACGTGAGAGGTCCATGTCTGGCACTAGACTATTTCATGCTGGTGATGAAGAAGAAGAGAATGAAGAACAAGTTATCAGTCCACCTGATGGTGTGGCTCCTGTGGACATCTGCAGCTAACTTCAGCCAAATCCTTTTTTCACAAGAGGATGTCCACACATATCCGGGCAAAAGCGGTTTGTGTCAGTCTCGCACCGACTAAAACCCTATGGTTTTCCACCTTCGCCGCACGTTGGCAGGGTCACGGGAATGATATCGCACACATCCGCAGCCCCATATAAGTTATCAGGGAAAGACTTCTCCTCCCATTCCTTTTCTCAGGCAAGGCGCACCAGGAATACTAGGGCCTTCACCGCCTTCAACTTTAATTGCGTAACGAACCTTCCGAATCCGATACGTGGAGGCCATGGGGTCAGGAAAAGCGCGCGCTCAGAAGCACCCGCTTTCCTGACCCCTGTGGCGGATCTGGTCTCTGGCTCCGCTGCCAACCAAGTTTCGGCCGCATCGCCATACCAACACTCCTTCTCCCACTCTACTCCACCACGGGCCAGCCAAGTGGGTTCCTCTTTGTCCACCGCGGATGACCAAGCCGCTACTAAGCCCCCCGCCACGGCAAGGCGGGTATCCGTTGGGGGTGGGAGAACTAAGAAGGCAACTGACACCTTATCACTTCTCTAGACTTTTTTATAGAGTAAGGGTGAAAACGAGCACACGATGATAAGTGGATGCTGTGGCCCATAAACATCTATATATTATATATATCCTCAATTAAGAATTTCGCAAGTGATAGAGCTACTCCGTAGCCTTATTATAGTTGTAGCACAAATGGTTGTCGTAGCTTGAATGGAAGTTGTAGCTCGACCGGGGCGGGATCACGCTCACAGAACGTCACCGTAAAATAGCAGCGTAATGCTGTTGTGTTTCGTATGTTGAGTGTAGAGAACACGACCCTTTTTACTGGAATCGAGGCATTCCTTCTTAGTCCTCATGGACTACGCATTTGCATTTTGATTCTTAATTGAGGATAAATGTGTATGTACAAGGCCCACAGCATCCCCTTTTATTGGGTGGACTGTTTGCTCGTTTGTCACCCAATATTATATAAAAAAAAGAATCAAATTGCAGATGCGTGGTCACCCCGCAGAGTTAAGATGAAGTGCCTCGTTTCCAGTAAAAAGGGTCTCCGATTACAAACAAAACACAGCAGCATTAGGCTGCTATTTTAAGCTGGTATTCTGTTTGAACATCGTCTTTCCCCAGGCGATCCATTCGTGCTACAGCTAGAATATAGCAGCAGAATGGCTCCACCACATATAAAATGTATAATGAAAGACCAAGATGGAATGCCTCACAGCCTGTACTGTATTTGATTTCTTACTTTTCAAACTGTAATACACTTTTGCCAAGAGGCTACCAACTAAGTCGGACTTCCAAGCTTAAAAGAAGCTCTGCTATCTAGTAAAGTTTCAAGTTCAAATTGGGATAAAATGGCTTCAATAAATTCATTTAATGATTCTTAAATTTGTTCTATCGTTCCAGATCCACAGCTCTAATGCACGAAGAAGCGCATTTAGGCGTTACGAGAACGTGCAAACACTGCGGCGAGGAGTTCAGGTATGAGTTTATAAAATGACAAAAATCAGCTCGGGTATGAAACTACAAATGACAGTCCTAATGTCAAACTACTAACCATAGAACCTTATTATATATTCGGACGAAAAATCAAACGAATTCGAAAATGATCCAATCCACTGGTTAAACATGAGTTATATACAGGTTGGTGCAATGTTAAACACAATAAATGATGCCAGAAACTCCATGGAAGGTTTTATTATCATATACACAAAAAAAAAATTATCAAATACACTACGTAGTTTAGCTACAGGATTTTTTTTCGGAGTTTTGTCAGGAACTTGACCGTCGACAGGTTGTCGCTCCTGTTTTGTATCTTAAATAATGGTTTGAAGTGGATTTTGATTCCTAAAAGTGATGTGATTTTGTGAATTAAGTGTCTGCGCGTGTGAACTATTTGAGAAAACGACGAAACATGTGCTTTGATTTTGATATAAACCTCAAGTTAATTTGATCGCTTGGGCACCTTATGAACTTGAGTGGCTGTCGTCATCAACTGTCCGCTGGGTTGAGCTGTCGTCAAAATCTCCCAAAAAATTCGCAAAGTGACGCATCAGCATATTGTAAAGAAAAATACATAAAAATGAAGTTCTGAAAGAAATGATAGGCTCAGAAGGGCTAGAACCCAGAGCCGTAAAGCCAGTTAAATAAAAAAAGACTTTTTTCGTTTTAGTAATGAGGGCTAATAATTTTACACTCACCAGATGTCACTAGTGGGGATTGAGGTGAACTTATATGTTACACGATCTCGTATCATTATTTGAAATAATGTTTTAAATAAATGTTTATCAGTTTCTAGGGTGTTTAAATACACAAAGCAATGATTCAGTAGTTATTAATGCTCTTAATTTTTTTGCACATTTAATTTTTTACTAACAGAAATATCCGTAGTTTATTTTATCCACTTCTGATCTAGCTAATATAAAATATAACTAATATTTCAGGAAGAAACAGCATTTACCCATATTCCGAACAAATTAACTTCCTACACTATGGATTCTGTCAATTATTTCACCCATTGCCTTAGTCGGGCCGCCCTGGTGGCAGAAAAAATTGTGTGCATCATTAAAATAACGCTGATATGTTCGTTAAAATTATGTATAAATTTGAATAGCGCACCCACAGCCGTCTCTGCCTAAAGACCTTGTTCCTTTTGTACATAGATTCGACTCGGACCGTCTAAGTTTTCACGAGACAGGACAAATAATCTCACCATTTCTGGGTACTCTACATTAAAATATTTGTGCTAATTAGACAAGAATAAGTATTATGCAATAGCGAAGGTTTTAGGCTAATGGTGGGGGGGGGGGGGGGTCTTTTAAGCTCGTATATATATAACCATAAAATATCTGCAGCATGGCTCTACCACGTATAAAAGTTATGTTATATTTTAACTGCTTGTGTTCTTATTGGATTGCTTTTTTTTTTGTAAAATTGATATGATAAACAAACTTGTCGTCCCCCCGATGGGAAGCGCATACTGCAGGTCTGGGCACCAGCAACCAAATTAAAACAGAAGGCTACAAAATCATTGTCATATCTGAGGATTACGATGGAATGCCTCTCGGTCTGTAATCATACCGGCTCTTTGCACCGGAACACAGAAAAACTCTAACTCTCTACATTCTCTTCTCTATGTGCAGCATTTAAAGTTTTCTGAGTTGGTATTATTTTTTTAATTGTGTAAAACTGAGTGATCGTCTGCTTCCACTATTTTTCCCCGAATCTGATTTGGTTTTCTCGGTGGTTTAAATCGGTTAAACTATAGACATCCGGTACTCGCGTACGGTGGTGGAAGAGGGAGGGGGATGGTTCAGGGGAAGCCCACATACCCTTCTCCTTTTGCGGAAATGTATAGTTTGTGAGTAATATTATTTTTAAATCATAACTTCACTTTTTTACCCAGGAATATTGACACCAAGCTACTTCTGCAACGGCTTCGGCACTGCAGGAAGTGCAGCCCATTCGCCCTTGCGTAGTAAATCACAGGCTCGCTCAGGGGTCTGCGATTTCCTACAGCGGGCGGGAGCTACTCTCCCTCCGCGCCTACGGCTTTATAAAAACGCTCTAAGGGTAGGGCAGACAAGACTACGTGAACTCGGGGCATGCTAATTTGGTTTTAGAACCGATGCGACTAATCATATATATAAAGTCAGGTTGCCTTAAACTCTGCTATCATTGTGGTAAATGAAATATTGTGATGTGAATTGTTATAATTTTGTTTTCTGAAAGCCCTCTTGACTGCTCTCCACTGCGACTCAATTTGTTGTATATGAGTCAGTCTTCAGCCACAAATGGATTGTCTGGGTCCGATTGATTAACTTTCTTATGAGTGTATCTGTGTTAAAAAACAAATTGACATATTTGCGTTTAATGAAATTTGAATGAAATTATTAATGAAATTTATTTTTATCTTAATTAATTCAAAAGGCATTTCCGAAATACAAAAACAGTAAAAAGTTCGAGTTTAACCCTCACAAACCTCCTAAATTGAAAACAAAATTAAAAAATCAAATAACGGACGTCTACTTCATAATACGAGAACAAATTTACATATTTGCGTTTCCTTATAAGCAATTTTTAGTGAAATTTGTTTTTATCGTAATTAATTCAAAACGCATTTCCGACATCCAAAAACAGTGTAAAAGATTAAAGTTTAACCGCTACAAGCCTCTTAAACTGAAAACATAATTAAAATCAAGTACCGGATATCTATCATCATTACAGCCCTTCACAAGTCCACTGCTGAACATAGGCCTCCCCCAAGTAACGCCACAAAGCACGGTCCTGAGCCACCTGCATCCATCGACTTCCTGCATGTCTTAACAGGTCGTCACTCCATCTAGTGGGGGGTCGCCCTACACTACGCCTACCGGTACGAGGCTGCCACTCGAGAACCTTTCTTCCCCATCGGTTATCGGTTCTTCGAGCTATATGGCCGGCCCATTGCCACTTCAGCTTACTAATCCGTTGGGCTATGTCGGTCACTCTGGTTTTACTGCGGATATCCTCATTTCTGAGTCTATCACGCAGAGAAACTCCGAGCATAGCCCTCTCCATAGCTCCCTGAGCGACCTTGAGCGTCCTCATACGCCCAGCAGTGAAGGACCACGTCTCTGATCCGTAAGTCATCACTGGTAACACGCACTGGTTGTACACTTTAGTTTTCAGAGATTGAGGTATACCTGACGAGAAGATGTGTCGTAATTTCCCAAACGCTGCCCAGCCGAGTTGAATCCGTCGATTGACCACTCGGTCCAATTTGGACTTACCTAGTCGGACTATTTGTCCCAGGTAAACGTACTCGTCAACAACTTCGAGCATAGTGCTCCCCACAACTACCGGCATAGGTGTGACATGGACATTGAACATAATCTTTGTTTTGTCCATGTTCATCTTAAGATCTATCCGTTGGGAGACACCATTGAGGTCATTGAGCATAGTGCTAAAGTCCTCCAGCGATTCTGCCATAAGGACTATATCGTCGGCAAATCGAAGGTGAGTGATGTACTCGCCATTGATGTTAATACCGTATCCTTTCCAGTCCAGTAGCTTGAAAACGTCTTCCAACGCAGCGGTGAAGAGTTTCGGGGATATAACGTCACCCTGTCTTACACCTCTCTGCAGTTGGATAGGTTTCGAGCTCTGATTCTGTACTCGGATAGCCATCGTAGCCCTACTGTAAAAACACTTCAGCACTTCGATATACCGACAGTCAACTTGGCACCGCTGAAGGGACTGTAGCACCGCCCAAATTTCGACGGAATCAAAGGCTTGCTTATAGTCCACATACGCCAGGCAAAGTGGCAGTTTGTACTCCTCGGTCTTCTGTACAATCTGCCGCAGGGTATGTATGTGGTCTATGGTACTGAAGCCTTTTCGGAAACCGGCTTGTTCGGGAGGCTGGAAGTCGTCGAGTCTGCGTGCGAGACGATTCGCAATGACTCTCGAAAACAGCACGTAGACGCGGCTCAGAAGGGAAATCGGTCTGTAGTTCTTCAAGAGAGCGTTGTCGCCTTTCTTAAAGAACAAGACCACCGCACTTCTGCTCCACGCCTCCGGAGTAGTGCCACCATGGAGGACGGAATTGAAGAGCTTCTGAAGGACTTCAAGTACCGGTGTTCCACCCGCTTTCAGAAGCTCCGCTGTAATTCCATCCTCGCCTGGGGCCCTGCCGTTTTTAAGGTGCTGGAGAGCCATTCTAATCTCGCTCAGACTGACGTCCGGGATATCATCGGAATAGTGTCGGGTAAAACTTGCTCTTGTATCGTTACTCACACTTGCATGTGGCTCCAACGATGATGTGTACAGCTGCCCATAGAACCTCTTAATCTCACTCAAAATCTCAGGTGTCCCGGAAACGATGCTGCCACACTCAGTCTTCAGCTTTGACAGTTGGCTCTTTCGGGCAGACAGATCTCTGGCAAAGACTTCGGAGCCCTGGTTCCGCTCGATCGCTTCCTTAATACGAGCAGTATTAAAGTTGCGTAAGTCTTGCCGCATGTATTTGGAGATCTGTCTGTTCAGTTGCCTGTATGCTGTCAAATCTGTTGACGATTGCAGCCTCATCTCCCGTCTAACAGCCATGAGATTAAGAGTGTGATCGGAGAGTTTTTGTGTTCTTCTGCGGCGGCGGGTCTTGCAGAACTTAGCTTCGACCGCATGAACAGTTTCCACGATCTTGTCATTCATATCGTCCACTGCATTGCAATCTTCTAGGCACTGAAAGCGGTTACGTAACTCGAGCTGAAAAGTCTCGGGATTCTGGATTAGAGCACGAGGGGGGACGGAGCGTTGACTTCATTAGACGAGACCTCCCCAACTTAACGTTTAAGTTCAGTGTGTCTCTAACCATTCGGTGATCGCTGCCGGTTTTCACCCTTGCGATCACTGAGACATCACTGAACAGTTGGAGTCTGGTCGTTATAATGAAGTCAATCTCATTTTTTGTCGAACCGTCGGGGCTCGACCAGGTCCACTTCCTGTGGGGCCGCTTCTGGAAGAAAGAGTTCATCATAAAGAGTCCCTCTTTCTCCATAAAGTCAGCCAGCTGCTGGCCCCTAAGGTTCCGTTGCCCTACTCCAAATTTCCCTAACTTCAGCTCACCGCCTTCTCTTGTGCCTAGTTTTGCGTTGAAGTCTCCCATCAACACCGTGTAGTGGGTTTTGGAGGAATGTATGGCTCTAGAAATATCCTCATACATTTCCTCCACCTCCTCATCGGGATGTGCCGAGGTTGGTGCGTAGACCTGTATGACCTTCAGCGAATACCGTTTGGTGATTCTGAGTATCAGGTACGCGACCCTCGTCGACACACTCCCAATCTTTACAACGTTGTTGACGAGAGACTTATGGACGATAAATCCGACACCTCCTTGGGACAGATGGTCGCCCTCCCGGTGATAGAACAAGTTGCCGGACTCGAGGATTACCGTGTCCTCCCCCTCTCTTCGGACCTCAGATAATCCAATAATATGCCAGCGCAACTTGTCTACCTCTTCTTCCAGCTCCAGTATCTTCTCGTCAGTCCTCAGGGTGCGTGCGTTATACGTAGCCGAAACCCCCCTCTTACGACACCCACGGGAAGATATGGGGTAGTGGATATTCTCAACCGCCACTACACGGCTTGGTTCGCTAATGATATCCGGTCGGTAATGATATCCGGTATAAATGGTTCGCTATAGATATCCGGTCATCATGATGATAATGATGACCGGATATCTATAGCGAACCATTTAATTCTTTGGTCTTAATTATTTTCCTCGTTGTACAATACGGTTTTTTAAAATATCTTCTTTTTTTAATCTTGATGGTATTTAGCAGTATTTGTATCCAGTTTTTTTTTAAATATTCGTATACGTTAAAAGTCATTTGCTTACTACTAATTTTGACTATTAATTTTATGTCCGAAGATATTTCGATCCATCTTGATAATGTAATCTCATGTGAAAGTCTGACAGAGCCCCCGCAACTGTCAACACATGCGATCGCTAACCACGTAGCGAGCGGACATGTGTCAATCATGAATGATTCGTTAAATTGAGACATAAAAGTATTGATGGTTCATTCATTTGTTTTTAAATGTACCAGTACAACCAATCACAAACAATTGACGGTACCTTTTTAACCCGCAATTTGTTTGAATTGTGAATGAGCCGCAAACCGACCGAATCCCGAATGATTTGAATAAACAGGCGAATCGAATTAACAATGCATACTGCAGAGTATGAGGAGTATTTATTATTAGACATGTAAAATAAGATGAAATTGTGTATTGTTAGGAATTAAATTTAAGAATAAAAAAAATATTTAATGTATGATAACTTGAGATTTTTGTTATTATGCAATCTCGCGTCGATTGTACTTACTACCTTGAAAGTCAATAAGTTTTAGTTCGATAAAATGACTTTATTAACTATAACATGTAATAGATGGCACTATTACAAATCTCAAATAGAAAATTTTCGGTTTCTAATAGATCTCATAGACTCTCAGAGTACTGGACCCCGAAATGATCAATTTGAATGATCGATCCGAATGTACCAGTACGCGTGACAAAATGTACTAGAATGATTCGATCGCTAGAAATGAATGGTTGACACATGTCTAGTAGCGAGTGAACTGACTTGTGATTTTTGACAAAAATGCCCCTGCACCTCTCCCGGTCCCCATTCTCGTCATACCGCAGCGCTGTGTGCCTATAACTAAAAACTAAATAAAAGTATTATTTTCTATTTAGACGACATGAACTATAATTGCTCGTATAATTATTAGAGATGGGTCGAATATGCATTTCACTGAATACGAATATTCGGCCGAATGTTCGGTAAAACTTTTACCGAACCGAATATTCGGCCGAACTTTATTCGGCAGGATCACCTCGGTACATAATCAATTTATGTCAAAACTTGTTACCGTAAAGTGCGCGGGATTATGGCCGGACCCTTTCTATCGCTCCCCCGCCACATCTGCCATGTTATTGCATTATTTAATACTGAGCAAATTACCGGTACATGCTTAAAACATTATGCTATACAAGTAGTTTTAACCCATAAATAAAATATACTTTCAACAGTAAAATTATGAAAGACATGGCATTACTCAATTCGTACATTTAATTATATATAATTACATTAAAAATGGACACTTTGAGTACCACTTTAACGAATATTCGGTGATTTAGCCGAATATTCGGCCGAATACGAATATTCGGTAAAGCTGCCGAATATGCCGAATACCGACTATAAAACGAATATTCGGCCGATCCCTAATAATTATCTCAAATTAACTTTCCGCGAGTCGGATTTTTTTTGCATAACCACGTCCAATGATCTATCTACGACTTTTCTGCCACCAGGGCGGCGCCACTTGAAACGAGGTGTAATATTTGACAGATTTCATAGCGGGGAATGTGGAGTGTAGAGATAAGGAGTACAGACTGTATAAAAAAGTGTCCGTAGGAAAGCGTTAAATAAGGGTGGCGCCACTTACAGTCTAAATTTCAAAGAACTTTTTATATTTTTTAATGCACAGGCTTTCACCGTAATTCTTTTTACAACAATTGTTTTATTGCTTTTAAAATGTTTATTTTCAAAATCACTCTTAACGTGTATTACGGCGATTTATGATACCCCGTAGCTACTCGAGCGCTGTAGTGGAGAGTTTTTAAACTGTTTTTACTGCTTACAGATGGATATTTATTTAACTATTTTCCTATGGGAGTTGGTACTCCTTACTTCTACACTCCATAGTGGGGAAGTTAATTTGTTCGAAAACTGTAAAGGTTAATGTTTCTTTCTGTAATATTAGTTATATTTTATATTAATTAGATTAAACATAAATAAACTAAACGATATATATTCACAAAACAAACCACAGGGACATTGTTTTGTGTATTAATATTTTACTCTAGAATCCGATAAACTTTTATTTAAAACTAAATTATCAATTAAATGACATTGTATAACAAAAACTTCACCTCAGTGTCAACTAGCGGTACATCTGGTGAGCGTAAGAGTATTGGCCCTAATTGATACAGGAAAACTTTTCTTTTGCAGGCATTTGACGACGTACTATTCGCACTTGCGTACCCACAGAAGCAAGTTTGTGTGCACTCTTTGCGGAGCGTCGTTTGTGAGCGACGCGGGACTGCAACAGCACAAACGCGTCAAGCACGTTGACGATACTGTAAATAATATTTATTTATTTATGCTTCAGTGAATTTTACATAACGTTAAGGAATTAAAAGGTAGGTTTAAAGAAGGCGCTAAAAGAATTCTCTGCTCTCAGTTTAACTGTAAGTTATGAAATATCTTCCATGTATGAACCGATTTTGGGGATAATTTTTAGGGTTCCGTACCCGAAAAGTAACCAACGGGAACCTATTACTAAGCCACCGCTGTCCGTCCGCCTGTCTGTCAGCGAGCTGTATCTCATGATCCGTAATAGGTTGACAGTTAAAATTTTCACAGAATGCGTATTTCTGATGTATAACAAAAAACAATAAAAATAAATTAAAAATCAAAGTGAGCTCCTTTATTAGATACCTGTTTTTTTTTCTTTTTAGACTCGATCTTAAAAACGTTTGAAATTCGTACAGAGTTTGGTTTGCTATATTCGCTAAAAAATATATTTTTAAAAATTAAAGGGGTCCCCTCCGATACGGGATACATGTTTTTTTCCTTTACAAAAGTAATTTAACTAAGTGTTAAATCTTGTACGATGGTAAGGAACCCTTCAACCGCGAGTCAGACTCGCACTTGGCCAGTTTTTTTTAAATAACATACTTCAGGGTTGCCTCAATTTTGATAAAAAAATTCTACCGCTAAGTGTTTCAAAATGAGGGGATTTTAACCTCTCAACCCCCTAGCGGTCTCATAGGTCGCACCCACCTACAGCACTTTAACACATAAAAACTTATTTATAGAGACTACTTTTCTATAAAGAAGTTTTGCATTATAAAATGCCAAACTTCTGCGACTGCATGGGATTTTTAAGGCGCTTGAAGGGTTAATGTAACTATTCAGATGACATGGAGATGATTCTACTATTATATTTAAGCTCATAGTAGCCTCATATGGGGGAGGGGTATCCACAGCTGGGCGGCTAAATTGGTATCCGCAGTTTTCATTCATATCCCTGAGGTGTGGTGAGTAGGTAGGTCAGTGATATTCCTTAGTTAGTCAAAAGGGTAAAAGAAATAACTTTTATTAAAACAACTAAAAATAATGAAATAATTTCACATTATGAGGTTGGTGCTAAACATTGTATAACTCGTACGGAGGGCTCAATAAAACACATTATTAATTGAATGATCGACCTACATTCCTGGTTAGGTTGTGTCGTGTTCAAGAGATTACGCCAATGACCACTCCTTTAGTCGACATAGCCCAACGGATTAGTAAGCTGAAGTGGCAATGTGCCGGCCTTATAGCTCGAAGAACCGACAACCGTTGGGGAAAAAAGGTTCTCGAGTGGCAGCCTCGTACCGGTAGGCGATGTGTAGGGCGACCCCCCACTAGATGGAGTGACGACCTGGTAGGTCATGCAGGAAGTCGATGGATACGGTGGCTCAGGACCGTGCTTTGTGGCATACCTCGTGGGAGGCCTGTGTTCAGCAGTGGACTTGTAAAGGGCTGTAATGATGATGATAATGGTGACTACACACTACTACACACATACTCACGTACTTGTAAGAGACAGATGGAATGTCCCGTTTTTAGTAAAAAGGGTCTCCGGTTCTGTACACTCACCATACAAAACACGGCAGCATTAAGCTGCTATTTTACGTTGGTATTCTGTGTGAGCGTAGTATAACTGCAGCGTGCTTCTACCACGCATTAAATTGGTCCTAAAGGAGTAACAACGCATCTGCATGGATGATGGAGAATATACGTAGATGTCTAAGAGCCACAGTATCCACTTATCATCAGGTAGATTGTGTGCTCGTTTATCACGCTTGTTCTGTAAATAAAACTTTTCAGGAACAGTCAAAGAGTCCACAAGATGCGGCCACGTTCTGCAACCGCTGTCAGATCAATTTCATAACTGCGAGCGCCTTCGCGGAGCACCTCAAATCGTCAGCGTTGCACGCGGATGTTGAGTGAGTTACACTCATCCTTCTTTCGTTTCTTATTCCGGCAACAGCCCATTGCGGGTCGTTAACCTCTCACATTGTAGGAGGATTTTCTGCTGGGGCTGTAACCGACGTACTATAAATAAAATCTTTATTTTATATTGAAGTTCGGTACATACCAGGAACAGACACAAGCTAGTAATACCAGTTTCTCGACTAAATCGAGTCAGTAATTCATTTTTGGAACGTTGTATACACTTTTATCACAATACCCCAAAAAATATACAAAATTTTACCTAATCAAAGTTAGTACTAGACTAGTTTAGTTTTACTTAGACTAGTTTATGAAACAAAGTTCGTATAAAAAGGGTATATTATAATACTAAGGAACTAAGGGATTTATGGATAATAATAACCTTTGGGAATTAGGTGATCGCGACCAATCTAATTCTGAAGATATTATATATAATATAATTTGAATTGTGTTGTTAATTTTTTATTTTATTTATTTTTAAAAAACGTTACCAACAAACATAAATTTTACACGGACAAACATCCAGACCCGGAATAATTACTTATAGCTTATAGGCCATACAAATACTCGTTCCCTGCGGCATTCGAACCCGCGGCCCTTAGCGCTGTAACCCATTGCTAAGCCACTTCGCCACGGAGCCGTCAATTGTATGACATATAGTCTGCCTCGTTGGTCTACAGGTTGTAGTGGTGCAACTGCTGATCATAAGGTTTCGGGCTCGAAACCTGGCCATAAAGTGTCAGCCTCGTACCGGTAGGCGAAGTTTAGGGCACCTTCCCATTAGATGGAGTAACGACCTGGTAAGATATGCAGGAAGTCGATGGATGCAGGTGGCTCAGGACCGTGCTTTGTGGCACTCCTTGGGGGAGGTCTATGTTCAGCAGTAGACTTGTGAACGACTGTAATGATAATGATGGTGGTGGTGATGAATTATATTTAAAAACAGTTGAAAACAAGTAATTTAATTCATGTAATAGAAATTTTAATTATATAAAGACTGGATTAGAGCGAGTGCTATAGTACGTGCCTAGGGACGCCACTGAAGTTCGTAGTCTACCTGGGTGATAGAACCTCAATATCTGTCTACCATGAAAAATATATGTGTCAAATAATAGTATCAACAACATAATATATAAATTGTAGCTTTATTGAAATAACGTAAATTATAAAAAATATGTAATTGTCGACCAATCTGCCATTAACTTGAAACTGACATAGGTGTCTGCCAACGTTATTTTAGAGGTAGAGTTATTATAAACCGCCGGTCAAACTAGAGTGCCCATTTCATGTAACTTAGGTATAAAGGACTAATTGAAAAAAAAAACGTGAAGCTTATTAAAACACCGCTGCAGTAAATAAAATACATTACATACATAAGCACTCACGCCTGTCACCCAAAGGGGTAGGCAGAGACTACAGCCTTCCATTTGGCACGATCCTGACATACCTCTCTCATACATGCATATCATATATGCCATATACATGCATATTATATATGTCATACTTGCTCGTCGGTTAAGGGTACTCTTAATTTGGCCCCTTTTCAATGTATCGCTAATTTGGTCGACAAATTTTCGCCTAGGATGTCCCTTACCGGCTCTGCCGTTCACTTCAGCAACATAAAATAATTTGTTATGTTATGTTAAATAAAATCATTTCCACATAACATTGTGAAGTCGTAGTTTTAATTTTTTTTAAACACTATGCCCTTGCATCGAATTCAGAATGTAGAAATATTTTGTAGTGTTTAGTTCTTTGACGTAGTGTTTTTCTTTTTATTCAATTTTTAATATACTAGTAGTTTCAACGACAGTAGAAAGTCGAATTTCGTTACCGTTACCGTTACTGCCTTTTATGGTCTAATGCTGAATATAGGCCTATAATATAGGAATATAGTACATTCGAGGGATATTTACCATAGTTGCCACGCTTGGCAATCGGGTTGGCAACCGCAGTTTTTTATGTTTAGTTGTTATTAGGAAGGCGTTGCTGATCTTTTACTGATATGTTATCCTTTCTCGCCTCTTACGAAACTCACGGGATGATGTGGGGTAGCCGGTATTGGATATTCTTGCAAAGCCATTGCACGGCTCACTAGCAGTATATTCAACAATTGTTCCATTTGTCCAGGAAAGCAGGCAACAACGAAGTTACAACCTCGAAGAAAAAGTACAGGAGGCCGCGGTATGGAAGAACAACAAAACTCAAACCCACGACATGCCATCAAGTATAACTGCTCTTCCTATATCCCTTATCACGTGACTTAGTTGCTAACAAACACAATATTACAACGTGCTCGTATTATATTATTTTGATATTGACATAGAATTATTGATTCAGTTTCATAGGTAACACAATATTTAAAAGTGTAGCTTCGGACACATCATCAGTCAAAACTTAGGCTGTCCCTGTGTTTTTACTATAAAACTGACGTGGACTTACAGTCCGCTTAGTGGTAAATGTGGCTAACGGAGTCATTGGAGACCTTTGAGTACTATTATAGAATTTCTAAAATGTTATGTATTAGCCAATTATGTGAAATATGTATGTTGTGATACAACATATCAATTCTATTGTGACCTCGGTGTTACTATGGGGCAGGGGATATGGTCAGTCGAGCTATCTCAGCCGAGCTAGATTATTATTATTTTGGGGTATCTATATAGTTTTCTCATCTGGTTGGGTTCCATAAATATATAATTGCGAAATACATTACATTATTATTATTATTTAAATATATTAAATTATTATTACCCGTAGAATCGACAATTTAGAGATATATTTATATAATTTTATTTATAAAAAACTGTAAGTAATAATTTTTTTCGGTAGTAAATGTAGTATCGTGTAGCCCCCACGAAAATATAACATACGAGTTCTATGGTGGAATAAGTGAGCAGTATATTTAAAGTCATAGTAAAAGTAACACGTTTCCTTTTCATTTAACTCCTTCAAACATTACAGCCCCACAGCTACATTTGCTCTATAATGTCACCGCGGTCAGTCTCAACGGACACTAGCCATCTGGGCAGGATTATAGTTAGTGTTGCCCAAATGCAAGAACAAGACGAGACTTAGCCAGTCTTGGTCTTGGTTTTGCGCCAATACATCTGGTCTTGTTCTTGGTTTTGGTATTGCGCTCTCAGTCTTGTTCTTGGTCTTGGTCTTGCAGCAAGAGTCTCGCAAGTCTCGCAATTACCTATTAGCCTATAGTTATTCATTAAACGTTACTTTAGATCTTAGAACAACTTAACAGAGTAGGCACATTTTGAGCTAGAGTTAACATAGCCATAAAAAGACCAACCAAATCAATAAATGTCTAAACATTTAATGAGAAATTCGAAAAATCAACTAATACCGGGTGGGGTTTGAACCCACGACCTAAGCGATCCGTGCCGATGCTCTAACCAACTGAGCTGTCTACCAAGTCTCACGGCCACGGGAGTTAGTCTGTTTCTTAATAAACGTTTACATTTAATAAGCTTACATGTGCTAAAACTTAGTCAAAACATATAAAAAAAAGACGTGTGGCACTCGGGGACTGCAGCGGTAAAGCTATTGCATAGCATTTTGTATCAACTTATGCAATTATAATTATTTTTTATTTATTTTATTTATGCAGTATTTCTTTTTCTTTGATATTAATTCAAGTTACACTTTTTGAGCGTGGTGACCGATAAGAAAACAAATTTTTTTTATTAAATAAATAAATAATAAATGCACTTTGTTCATTCATATTCAAAACACTTTATACACAAATTTTACAAGTACAGCTATTCACTGTTGTACATAAATACATATACACCTATATACTTTTGTTGAGCCACGTGGTGGCTGTGTAATAGAACCATGAGCCATCACCCTTTTGGATCCCATGGGTGTCGTAAAAGACGATAACAGTCAACGACAGAAAACTTTTATGGCTTCCGATAGATGGCATAAAACCAATGCCCATCTTGTTTACACCTATTTAGTTTACATAAGAATTAAAATACTCGGACCGGCGAGGAGCAGCAGAACAACAGAACATGATATGCTTAAGAAGAGAAACGAAACTGTTTGGTATTAGAAATTAGACATTTCCATCTTAGTCCTCGGAGGTGACTACGCGTCTACATTTTGATTTTTAATCGATAACTGATGTAGATATCTATGGGCGACAGCATCCACTTACAAGTTAATGGACTGTATGCTTATTTGTCACCCTTACTCTATAAAAATATATAAAAACCTACTCCACTATTAACAAAATTAAATTTTTGCAGTAATATTTTACGATTTTATTTCGTAGTGCTGAGCTCTCGCAACGCGGCGTACGTCCACCTAGCAACACGATGCGCCCCGCACGGAATTCGTGGACGAATGCGGCAGTGATATAGACGCAGTATTTATTCGGGACGCATTTTTAATTTATTATCATAAAAATAATACATATTTCTAAAAAGTAACCAAACCAAATTATTTTATTTTGTATTGCAAAGCAGTAGATATTTTTTTTATATTCCTTTGATAAACAATGAAGGAGTAAAGTGGTTTCATCTCAACGATTTGGAGGTGATTTGGGTATTTTTTTATTTATTATGTGACACCGATAGAAAAATTATGGCTAAACCAAATTATACAATATTTTTTTCATATGTAATTTCTCTGTAAGTGTCGACGAAAAGTTGGTTCATCTGCACGCTTTTTTCAAGCTTTTTGCGAGAGAGCAGCCTTAATAATAAATGCACTTTGTTCATTCATATTCAAAATTTCAAAACACTTTATACATAAACACCGTGTCGAAGACTGAGGAAAAGAAACGACGTTAGACCATCGTTAGACAATGCACGGCCTTCAAGCCACACCTCCGTGCCCGTCGGAGAGCGTGAGGTTTTTTCGTTACGAAATTTCTGGATTTTCCCGCACTCAAGGCCCGCGATAGAAGGTATGAAATAGCTTAAAACAAATTAATGACATTAACTTGACTGTATTATAAAGAACATTATCTGTCTTTTAAGAGATTGATAGACCCTTATATGAAATGGAATAAAAGAGTTACACAATTTACCATTTATTTAAATAAAAAAATGAAATACAATACAAATTAAATTACATAACAGTACACAACAGCTTTGACATTACTTTTACTTTTTATATAAATTTTTTGACCAAGAATTAATACAAAGTAACCATCTGGCTGACTCATCACTTAACCTATTTCTATGTTTTCTAATTACTAATGATGCTTTAGAAAATAATTTCTCAACAGGTACTGAAGTTGCAGGTATTGAAAGAAAATCACGGGCCATCTTCGATAAAGTCAGATATTCTGTCTCATGCGTCCTCTACCACTCTAAAATGTCTTCCGAACTGGCGGCTCTGGGTTTACTTAGGTGCTCTTCCAACTCGTCTATAACTAAGCCTTGATGAAAAGATCCAGATCCAGATTACGTCGAGCGATATGCATACAATTTCTCAAAGTCTATTACGTCTTCATCTTCATCATATTCTCATACTTTCTTTTCATTTCTTGGTGATTCTAGAGACGTTTTCACTGAGTGTAGACTTTTATACTCTTTATAAAGTTCATTAAATTTGCGCAGGTTTTCTGTTTTAATTTGCTTCCCCCATAATGTCATGTCAAAAGTCTGAGTCTTATGCCTTGGGTCTAAAATTAAAGAGGTACAATAAATCCAGTTGCTCTTTTTATAATGTTTAAGCATTTTGTCTCGAGCTGCTTGAAAACCCAGAATGAGCCTTTCATCCACTTCGGATCGATTAGGTTTCTCATCTAATTGTTTTACCATGGATTCAATTTTATCGAGCAAGAGATTGAATGATACAATTACCAGCGGTAATGTAACATATTTTTCTCCACCAAGTTTCGTTGATAGAAGTTTAAAGTTTATTAGAAACTTATGTATTTTTTCGAGTATTTGCCATTCACTATCTGTGATTTGAAAATCATTCAATTCGGTGACAGAAGTGCACAATATGTTAATGCCAGTTCTCACTTTTAAACCAAATCCAATCATATCATGTGTGGAATTCCATCTCCTTGGACAGTCGAGTATGGGGTTAGACTTAATGGCACGCCAGCTGCTTCATAAGCAGACTGAAACTTCCTCTTCAATATCTCACTTCTTTTTATTTTACTGGAAATACTGCTTAATTTTGTTATAGCTGTACGTGAGTCAGCAATATTTGGCGCATATTCTTCATCTTCCTCAGTTTCGTCATTATCTTCATACTGCTGTTCTTGTCCCTTAGTATCAGTTTCACTGTGTAATGCTAAGGTCTTTAATAAATATTGTACACCGAGGTTCAAAATGTGAGCAAAGCACCGGAAATATTGATTGTCTGAATCAAAGTGTGGCAGCTGTTTGTCCAATTCATACATATATTTGGTATCTGCAGTTGCGTTGTCGACCGTGATACCCTGTATTTTATCAATTATGTCATATTCCAATAAACATTCGTGGAAAATCGTTGCAATATCTTCCCCAGTATGTCGACCGCGTGATGGTATAAAATCAAGGACTACAGATCGATACTTCCATTCGTTGTCTATATAATGAATAGTGACCCCGTAGCTCCGTACTCCGTACTCCTACCAGCAATTGACGTCCATCCATCAATGGTAAATGACAATTTAGATGAAAATTGTTGTAGTCGTTTCTTAAGATTCAATTGCAGCTCTTCAAACCGTTCTTTGACCTTCCTTCTAAGTGTGGACCTTTAGGAAACACCATATTGGGGCAAATTGATAGAAAATATACTTGTGTAGCTTCGTCATCGAAAAATGAGAAGGGAAGATATTTTTTAACCATCCAATCAACTGTAGCTGTCGTGATGTTGTCACTGCTATTTTCAGACTGAAATAAAACAGTAAATCATGCGTCTCGCCGATTATAAAAACAAATGAAAATATGAGTGAATTATAAATACATATTTAACACTATAATATATATATATATATATATATATATATATATATATATATATATATATATATATATATAACTACCACTCACTGACTGACTATATCGATATCTCGGGAACTATAAAATATACAAACTTGAAGTTTGTAAGGTAGGTTCCTTTTATGGCATAGAGATCAGTTAAGAAACGGTTTTGAGAAAATCTATCCCTAAGGGAGTGAAATAGGAGTTGGAAGTTTGTATGAAAGTCCTACGTTTTTGAAGTTAGAGACACGAAAATCGGCATTAAAGTTATAAGTTTTCA